TTATCTACACAGTATATTTCTTGTCCATCGCTATTGGGCCTATTTCTATGGGAGGATTATTGTTCCCTTGACAACAAATTTTGCCACGAGACTTACTATGGCCACTGACGAGTATGAGTGGGAATGGCTCGTGCCACCTCTGAGCAAAAGTTTTAAGAGCCTTTTGTGTGGTTCTGCCATCCCTTTACTCCTTCTGTCACAAGATCGACATATCTAAGTAAAAGGCTTTTCCATCATCCTGAGTCACGGGATGAAGAGCCTCGTGAAGAGCATGTAATGTGAGTGAGAAATAACATTTCTTACTGTAAGCCCCTGAGATTTGGGGGTTGTTTGCTACTGCAGCATAATTAGTCCTAAGATACCTAATACACAGAGAGATGCCAACTGTTAATATTTGGATGTATATCCTTCAGTCTTTTTTCTATGCCTGTATTCTATATATCTTTTCCTTATAAAAATAAGGTCATAGTGTAGATATGATTTTGTGAAGTGCTTTCTCATTTCATTTGCAAATATTCCCATACCTATCTTTAAAATGTAAGATTCTTCCTTAAACATAGCCATACCATAATCACACTTAAAGTTAATAATAATTGCTTCATATCACCAAATATTAGTCATTGTACAAATTTCTCTGACATTTAAAATTATTTCTTTAAATCAGGGACCCCAATAAGGTCCCTAACTTTGTGAAAAGTTGATATGTCTCTTATATCTTTTCATCCATAGGCTCTCCCTTCCCCACTCCCCCACCCCCTCTCCCCTTGTGATGTAGTTGATGAAGAAACTGAACTGTTGTTCTGTAGTTTCCCACAGTCTGGATTTCGCTGATCATATTCCCATGGTGTCATTTGACATGTTCCTCTTTCCCCTATACGTGGTTACATGTGGATTTTCATCTGTGTAGGAGGTCAGCACCCTACCCCGTGTTATTCTAGTGTCAACTGTATTTCCTGTAAGTTGCTGATTAAATCTAGAGGCTTGATCAGATTCCATGAACACATTTTTAAACTTAATGCATTATAAAAATTTTCCATATCATTTAATAGTCTTCTACAGCATGTTTTTTAAAATGACTATAGAGCTGTCGGAAATACGAATGTATTTTTATTTATTTAGCTAGTTCCTTATTGTCGGTCAGTTAGGTTGTTTGTAATTTTTTGCTACTACACACAGCTCACTGATAAACCTCTTTGTGGACTAATCATTGTGTGGGCTGGTTTGCTGCCTTTCTGTTCTCTTAGTTCCTACGGATGGTGGATGCCTGTGCCAGCTTCCTCACAGAAGCCTTGAACCCAGAAAACTGTGTGGGAATACTGAGGCTGGCAGACACACACTCCTTGGACAGTCTAAAGAAGCAGGTTCAGAGTTACATCATCCAGAACTTTGTGCAGATTCTAAATGCAGAGGAGTTCCTTGAGCTTCCTGTGGACACTCTGTATCACATCTTGAAGAGTGATGACCTTTATGTGACTGAGGAGGCTCAGGTGTTTGAGACTGTGATGAGCTGGGTCCGGCACAAACAGTCGGAACGACTTTGCTTGCTCCCCTACATCCTGGAGAACGTGCGCTTGCCACTTCTGGACCCGTGGTACTTTGTGGAGATGGTAGAAGCAGATCCTCTCATCAGGCAGTGCCCAGAGGTGTTCCCGCTGCTCCAGGAAGCCAGGATGTACCACCTTTCTGGCAATGAGGTGAGTTGACAATGAGAGGTGCTGTAGTTAATTAGTGAAGTAAAGGAGTTAGTGGGCCTCACAGAGATAGAGGTGAGGCTGGCTTGCAAACCCTTAAAGCATGGAGAAGAAGATGCTACACTNGTACTCACTTCTTCCTCCTAGAGATAAACTTCAAAGGGGACTTCTCTGTTACAATTGTGGAGAGCTATTCTGAGTCTTTTCTTTTTGTGGAACTCTGGAGTCAAACTTGCCTGGTTGAGGAGAGCAGGATTTTAGCATCTAGTGATGAGGGAGAAGCTGGTTCAGGCAGAAGGCATGGCATGAGCATAGGAAGGCATGGGGACAGGCAAGCTTAGGGATGTTTGCAGACAGTGGTTTGACTGTGGGGAGGTTCCAGCGGGTGAGTCCTGGTGACAGCTTAGAGCCAGATTTGCATGGCTGGAGGGGTAGGAATAGGAGTCTTGAGATTCAGGCAGTAGAATCACTGAACTTGTTACATAGCATTTATCACAGTTGTAATTTTACACTTATGCGATTATTTGATTACTGCCTGCCTCCCCCCATGGATCTGGCAGCTTCAGAGAGCACAGGCCCTGGGTCTGTTTCTGCTCACCTCTGTACCCCTAGCACTGGCTGAGGGCCGACCACATAGCAGGTGGTCAGTACACATTCAGGAAATGCATGGGTGGATGAGTGCACCATCGAGTAAGGAGATACGTTGGGGTCAATGTTTCTAACAAATGTAAGCTTTGGTACTTGATTTGATCCTCCCTCATGGCTTCCTTCTTTGCTCATCAAACAATCACCATGCAGGGGCAAACATTGGCATCTTGCTGGCCAGGCCTTCCTGCATCAGGGCAGCTCAGATCAGCTGAGCTCTCCGGTGAAGTGTGCAAATCATGTCTGGTATCTGCCAAGGCACTGTCCTATGCAAACACTATTTGACTTGAGACAGTTAGAAATAATGTAAAAACATGCATTTTTGGAATCAGATAAGAATGTTTCAAATTTTAGCTCTACTTCTTATTAGTTATAAGTCACTTCTCTGAATCTGTTTTCCTCATCTATAAATCATGAA